CACGCTGAGATTTTCATCTGTTTCTGGGTTTTCTGTGCTACGTTTCTGTTTTTGTTATGCTTTCATTACAATATAGCAGTGGCCAACCCTCCAGAATATCCGAACTCCAGAAATCGAGGTACGAGTGTGTGCACATCAATTTCCCCATTCAGTTTACTCGCTCAGCCAGAAGGGGAAAAACCGGAGAGGGGTTGGGGTAGATAGGGGAAAATAAACCCGGGAAAATCCCATTCAAATTCGGAAACTTGCTCTGCCATTCCTGTCTGTGGCTTTCCAATTAAAATATAGCTCAGTGCCAGGCATCGAATGTGATTAATCAATCATGGGAATCGACTCATCGCTAATCAAAGCCAGCCTTGCTCTCTTTACGCTTTCTTTTCATTAGTTTTTCTCGCATTTCCACCGATTTTCCCCACTCTGTTACCCCGCAGCACAAAGGATTAAATTAAATATTCTGCTAATCAGGCGAAAGAATTGTTGCGCAATCGGCGACTAAACGCTGGAATCCGAATCGGATTCCACTTCGGAATGCCCTCGAGATGTCGACAGTCAAATGATTACCAATTAAGTATGCAAATTGTCTCTGTGCCACACAGATTCGCCAAGATGTTCAATCTGGCTTAATCCTTGGGCTTTATAGCGCTTTTTTCCTGCCCTCTCCATCCAATTTCTAATTGAGGACAGCACTTTTCACATTGAAATTTAATTACAATCGGGGCTTTAGCCTTGAGGCGGTGCAAAAACAATGGGAAAAAATCACAGACAGCTGCTGAAATTCACACAAAAGTTTTTCCTTATCAAAATAATAATCCTTTTCTTGGGGAAAAAATTAGAGGAGAGTTATAAAGTGTGAGTAATTAAATCCGCCTTTAAAGCTGAGATTCGAGACCACGTTTCGGTTGTTGAGAAATCCAAGTTGCTGCCGCAAAACTTCGACCCGCAAAACTTTGGCCGCAGAAACTGTCGCAACAGAACAGAAAACGCAGAAAACCCGGAGGAGGTCTACAATTTCTTTGTTCGGGGGGTTAGAACCTATATTTGCGGGAGGGGTGGAATTTTCGGGTCTTTGGTTTCAACTGGTGACCGCAAGCTCTAGATGTTGCAGGTGCTTGATTTTATTGATCCATTCTCCTCAGCTCGACTCATTATAATTTAACAAATGAGCAGGGCTAAAGGGCTTAAACCGTTCAGGAAACAAGCTGTAAATCGCTAGCAAGCGAGCCGTGTAATAAATGCGGCGGCATACGCCCAGGTGAAAATCCGGAGCCCACCTGGAAAACGGGGTGCCACGTAACGAGCTATGCTGATTTTTGCGGCTTAAAGTAGGAGCCGTAAAGTTGATGCGTCCAAAGCCATCGCAGATACTGCACATATATGTTCATATATGTTCATATGTAGGTAGATATGGCCCACATATAGAACCAGCTTCAGCCGGGTGGCGTTGATTTATGCAAACAGCCGGCGTGATGTGAGTGAATTAACGCGTCTGCGAGTAAAACTCTGCTAATGGCAGTGGCAACAGCCGGAGGACCAGGGGCTCTTGAAGGGTTTCCAAAGGGGTGTTTGGGTTTGCCGACTTTGAAAACTTAAATTTTTCACATTAATGACGGTGGCTGGAGCGGCCACCGCATACAAGGATGACTGACTTACTGTGCATTAGAACGAGTGCACAACAGGGCGGATGCGCAATGTGGGGAGTGGCTTCTGCAAACATTCCAAGGGATTCCAAAGGCTGCCAGGGGACGGATTTAAAATAGCATGTGTTGGGGAGAAAAAGTACTCCTAATTATCTCTTATAATGCAAGCATCAAAAGTATTCCATTACGGAACCGTATACCAAACGACCTTTAAAATAGTAATGAGCATACTGACCAACTTAATAATAATAATAATAAATTCCCATGTTAGAAAAAATAAAAAATATATATATCATCTAGAAACATTTTATGTTAAAAGAAAAACGTTAATTTATAAGTGTTTGTGTTTAAATTTAATTCTTATTCTCTCTTAAATAAATTAAATTACTTAAATTTTAAGATTCTAAGGTTATCATTTTATGAAACCTAAAATATTGTATTTAACTCCCTATTTATTCATTTTTAGAATGCCCTTAAATAAAATCATCAGTAAAATTTAACCCCATAAACATATATTTCCCTTAGACTGCCCCATTTTCCATCATAAACTTCCTCAACGACATACAGCCATTTTGCAGCATTTCCCTATATTGTCGCATTCATATTTTATGATTGTTTGCTGGTGCTATGTGTTTATGGGCCACGGTTAAGATAAATGTGGCGCAGAGTGTAATCAAATCTCCATGCATCCATATCTATATAAACTTTATATATGTGTTAAGCCTGTGGACAGACGACCTGAATGAACCGAGGGCTTTATGGGTATTGTAGGTAATTTATGGTCTTTTTCCCCACTGTGTCGATTGAATATTGATCATTTACCGCATCACGTATACTATTGGGTGGGAAAATCGATGTACCTACATATAAGATGCATGTTGCAGATTACAGATTTATAGATTTTAAATTGCTTCAGACTAGAAAAAGGAAAAGATTTTCGTGGAATGTTAGGGTTATGGAAAAGGTTTCTCGTACTTATCCTTACTAATGGTGTCCTGCATTTTTGAGGACATTAAATTTTAAATTGGTTCGGGGTAAGGGGATTTATACAAGTAACAAGTACTTTGCCTTGCTTTATCTTGTAATTTCCCCATCATCATTCGCACTTGCACAATTTTGTTTGAGTTAGCGAAAGATCCATCCATTTACATCAAAGTAAAGCAAATTGCCTTCCGTTCGCCCACTCGCGTTCCTCGAATCCAATAAAGCAATTTTGTATTGTCAATTTAATAAAGCCTTTTATCGAGTGTATATAAATGGATTATGCCTCCCAAGCAGAGCGCATATTTATTAGAAAAGTTTTTCGCTCCGTCGGCTGGAAGGAGGCAAAGTGGATGATGTAGATTTACTGAACCACCCGGGGAATTGATATTTATGGGGATTATCTATCAATTAGGGAGGGCAGCTTCTTATTAAACGACTCTGTCACCGGGATACCTTCAAGACCGCCAGAAAACTTAAATGAATGTCAGTTTGCCATGGTCTCCTTTGTTGGCAAACCCAGTCCTTCATAACATCTGGCCGTCAGTTGGGGCAGCAATTTTCGTCACGTCACGCCGAACAAAGGAATATCTTGCCACATTCATCAAAAAACAGAACAGAAGGCAAGCAGCCGTAATATTTGCAGTCAACTTGTCTGCAGTTTCGCTGCAACTGCATCTAAAAATGGAATTGTTGACAATACAAAAGAAGTGACAAAAGGTTCCGAAAGCGCTGCCTCTTCTAGTTTGCCACCTCCCCGCTTTAACTGGCTAACTGGCCACCGAGTGGGCCAATTGGAATGGGCAATTATTTAGGCCATATGGCGGCCGCTAACCCGGCAAGGTTAACCGCCAACAACCAATGGGTTAAGGGCCGTGCACTCAAAAGAAAAAGTTATAAAGAAAATGTTTATAAAAACAAAATATTTTAGGGTCTTGGGGCTTGGAATACTTTAAATTTAAATTTTAGGCGTCTAAAAGTATGCAATCATTTTTTATACTCACGCCCTTACTCACTGCATACTTTTGGACACCTAAAATTTTTTCTTTTAATTATTGTAAGTAATGAGCAAGTATATTTCTCAGCTTAGCTACGATAATTTATTGTTCAAAAAGAAGAATATAAGAAGAAGAAGAAGAATATAATATAAATATTGGACGAATTTTCTAAATTGCAAGTCCTATAGAAAGTAAATAATTATACAGACCTTCAAAGTTAAATTCAATGGTATCTGTCAAAGTATTTGGGAAGTGGCGACCAAATCATTGAGGCTTTTCCTTTCTTCTGAATGAATTCATTGTACTTCAAAGCCTAAAATACTTTGCTGCATACTTTTAGGCACCTTAAATTACATTACTAAATCCAATTTTTTAAGTGTGTTAAGGGCGTAGGTGGTTCCGAACTGTATGCTGGGTTTTCTGGGTTGCCTTGGCTTTGGTTAAAAGTTGGCCGCTGGCAGAGAGGGTCATGAAACGCCTGAATGCGCAATGAGTGAAATTCAAATACAAACCGTGTTTGAATGAATGCGTCGAGAAGTGGGACCTGGGGTGCGGACCCCTTCTACGAAACAGCCCGGCCCCCCTATCCCCCTGAAAAACCCACGCCCATGTGCTGCGGGCAAAAGTGAATGCCTAACCAGTTGACTGGGTAAATAAGTGCGGAGGGTCTGGGCAAAAGGGTTGTGGACTGTGGGCGTGGCACGCCCTGCTTTTAGAAATGTCCTTGGCCTATGTGCAGTGGCAATTGATGGATGGATCGACGCAAGACTCGCTCCTTTTCATTCGCCCCTCCGTTCTTTAATGTGAATTAAAGTTTCTTTCATTTGATGTACTTTGAATGGCAGAACGATGAAAACTTATGATGCATATGCATATCCACCAACTGCCACACACTCAGGGCATAAAATTTTACACTTACGATGCAGAACCATTACCTCAGTCAAATGCAATTGAATTACATATAGCGAAATGCGGAAATGCGGTCGCATCAAATTTAAGATGCTCTGAAGTTCCTAGAATGGCACAATCAAATTTTATTATAATATTCTACGGGAAAATAGTCGTCAGTACTTTTGAAAACACATTTTTATAAGCTGTTTTTATGTGTATAACTTTAAATGGATATCATTTCGCCTCAAATTTAAAACTTTTTAAAAATAAATAAAGCACATTCCTTCCTGTTTTTCTGGCGATATTATATGCGCAAAAGTTTTGCCTAGTCATAAATTGTATTAGCTCGCACAGACAGCTGGAAAATCAAGCCAAATAGCTTAAATAAACAATAAATAACTCATACGCAGCGTGCGCCAGCGGCACTTGAGCATAATACGCGAGGCTAATGCAGCCAAGTGGAGCATATGAAACGCTTGTCTAAAAGGCTAGATGGTTTAGTAGCTCCATCTGTGGGTCCGATAAAACCCAGCGGTGGCGCCACCTGTGACAGGCCTAGAAAGGGTTTATAGGTAGCTGGGGGGTCTAGGAGAGTAACAGCGGCAAATGTCAAGCGGCCCTAGAAATTCACCATGCCCCACGATCGAGGTTACCGGCGGGTCGGCAGCGGCGGATGCTTTCTTTTCCTTTTCGGCAGCGGCAGCGTATAGACGCAGTCAACTCAAGACAGTTCGCGAGTGACCCAAAAGGGAAATTTTTTTACTTGTTCAATTTTCGGTTGGATCGCGCCTAGACTGGTGAGTTTGATAGAAAAGGGAATGTTTAGAAAATTAAGTTTAGCCGGGGAAATTATTGTAGGCGGTCGGCGGAAGGCGATTCGGAAAGTCGGCGAGAAGGCGCTGGGGAAGGAAAGGAAAAGAAACGGATGTGGATCTTGGTGCCAAACGAAAGCGAGAAATTCGGCGGCCAAGCGGAAAAGGCGGCGGCAGCAGCATTGGAAATCAAGCATTAATTTTATATATATATTTTCGACCTAACCTGACCCCATAACCCTAGGCGGTACCGGCCGTGTGTTTGAGCAAGAAAAAGGAGAAGAAAGTTCTAATTTAGATATCCACGGTTTTAGAAGTTACAAAATCCCGACCTACGACAGCAAAGTTTAAATTAAGCCGTAAAGGCAGCCGCTATCGTTTGCGTGGGTAAAGAGAGGCGGGGCTTCGCAAAAGCGGGAGCTTTCAGTCTCCTACACGGATCGGATCACGCCAGTCGCCTTCGCTGCGCTCCGTCGCGAAAAGAAGATTTTAGAGAAAAAGATCAATTTACGCGAAAGTAAACGTTTTTTTTTGCACCCGCCGCACGCGTCGGTGAAAGCCGGCAGTAGCTGCCAGCGAGTCAGTTGGCGGCTAGAACATAGTTTAAGCTAATTCAAGTGTAAGCATAGTTTTTTTTTGTGTTGGTGCTTGTGAATATGTGGGTGTATTAGTGCCTTAGGCAGCTAGCTAAGAAAAAAAAGAAGAAAAAGTAAGCATGCGTTGAAGCCGCGATCGAAATTTCAGCCAGCCCCGAAAGTAATTTTTTTTTTACATTTTTTTGCTGTGTCGGTTTGAGTGTCTCCCTTTCCTCTCTTCTTTTTTTTGCATTTTCTTTCCCCCTTCACAGCTCTCATCATCATCCCGAAGAAAGCGCTTTCGTCGATGGATTTGAAACAGTGGTGAGTCCAAATTTTCATATATTCATTACATAAAAGAAAGGGAGTAGGAAGGAAATGTAATAAATTGGAGGGTGAGACTTAAGAAGGAAAGATCAGAAGGGATGGCCGAATGAGCAAGAAGCAGAGAAAAAATTTACGACAACATCTGAGCGAACCGGGAAAACATGAGCGAAAGAAAGCTCGATCGCGTGGATTCCAAGCTCTTCGTTCGCTTTGAGTTTTGTTTAATTTGCCAGTCGACAAAATTTGTCTGACTAATTTTACTTAAAATTTGACTTTGAAATGTCCATGAAGAAACCCCAATATTAGCAAGCACGACAAGAAAATCATACCATTAATAATTTAGGCAAAGTCCACCAAGGGGATTTGCGAAATCGCTCATCAGTTTTAGTCCCAAAAGTCTTCAATATTGTAATTTTTAAATTGTCGTCTATTCGCATGAGATTTTTATCGTCTATCTTAGAATAAGTTATGTTTGTATTTTGCTATAATTAAAATGTTTATAATGTGCTAAAAAGAATTAGTGTTGGCCGCGGCTGGCGTTGACCTGCGATGAAGGAGTGCACTTAAGAAAAAAAAAGGGGTCGCTCAGGCTGTTAAGCGCTGAGGGTACGGGCGACCATTGGTAGGGTGGGCATGACCAAGACCTCCAGAACATCGAGGGAGGCGAGAGGGGCAGGTCAGTCGGAAAGGGAGTATACAAGAAAGGTCCAGCAACATGATGTGTGTGATATTCTCTATACCGGTTAGATTGGTGAGGCACGCGAATATCGGAATTTTATTAGGAATAGGCATTCCGAGATGTCGGCAAGACCATCACACCCATAGCCGAAGAGCCAGAGCCGGAGAATAAGTTATCGCGTGCGCTGGCATCTCGAGGTAACATCTGGCCTAGAGTTTTTATAAGTGTAGCGGTTCGTTACACATAAAACATTTGTCTAAGCCATGACTTTTAGGATAATCCAGCGCACACTCACATTTTCCCTTCCCAAAGTCTCAGAGTCCCTTCACATACGAGTATATATACATATAGCCCAGTTCTCCGGTTCAGTTCTTCAGTTCTCCGCTGACACTTTCATTCAGATTCCGCCTTCTGCCATGGAAACTCATGTGTTATGGCATTCTTTTGTCTTGCGACGGGCCAAATTATACGCTGACACAGCGGGGAATCACAGCTCAGATTTTCCCCAGCTGGAAAAACCCCTTTGAAAAGGGGTTGCGTTTTAATAAAGTGAATTCAAATGGCTGTCAACTCTCAACCTTTTCGCAGTGTTCTTCAGCCAACGCATCAGAACAATTGCAATTAATTCTAGCTAACATTCTGCACTTTGTTTTGAGGAGTGAAAAATCCACTGGAAGACAATAAATTGCACTGACAGACGCAATTGCTGGCCATACTTCAATTTCAAAGTGCGGTTTTTTTAGTTTCCGAATTGGGCAACCAAAAACCGCAACAAAGTTGAATTGAAATGCAGCAGGATCAAAAGAAAAAGCATCAAAATAGCATTGGTGTTGGCATAGAAAAATGTTGCAAAACGGAACATGAGAAGAAATTGTGGTAATGGATAATCCTTTAACTCTTAGAATATCGTATCACAGATGCAAGTTCCTTGTGAACTGGTTAACAATCTATTGTTCATTTCATGTTCATAATTATGTGAAATTAAATCAGTGTTTACTAATGTGCACAATTAAATTAGCCGAAATGCAAAAGGTCCTTTAATAAAATAGTTATATACAAAGTGTAATTCGCTTTGATGGTAACTTTTTTGGTAACAAATTAAGAAGTTTTTATTATATATAAAATATAAATCAGAGAGATGTTATATTTTCACCGCAGAAGCAGTGTTTTCACAATATTTTCTCAACTATTTGAGTATTCCAAACAAAGCTGCTGAGCGGTAGAACTTCCGCTGTATGCTTGTCTATTGTAAAGTGTTGAACAAAATCCATTTTAGTTTGGTCGCCACGGGATGTTGTCGCCACCTCCCATATTGTTTATATACTATATGCATGGCCCACCCACTGCGCTGTTATAAACCTGAACACACTCTAAAATATTCTGGGATGGAGTCGCAAACGCATAAGTTGAAAAGTTTTTGGCAGAGCTACGCAGATTCACGGTATTCATTAGCATGCAAATTTGAAAATTTATCAGTTTGCCGGTCGAAATCCTTTTTTATTCCGTCGACCAACCGCAACTCTTTAAGCCGTGAATGCACATACGCTTTCGAGGGAAAAGTTCTATCACAGGACGAAATTGGAGGGGTACTTAGTGGACGTGATGTGGTTCAGTGCCTGATAGGAGGAGTATTATGACAGGCACTAAGTACCCAATTTGCAGTGTCCTTTATTTGGTACTAACGAGGGTATTTAGGGAGTACCTTATTATAAAAGCATATTGTCAAAATTGTAAACAAATTTGGTAAATTGGTAAAACTTAATAATAAAACAGGTTGCCATCAAAATATGCAGAGTTTATAAATCACTTATATAAGTGTCAAAAAGTAGGCAATGAAAGAATAACGTTAATTGTTTAACCTCCAAACTAAAAATATTATGATGCATACTTTTAGACATCTTTAAAAAATATTACAAAACCTATTGTTTGATATTATATATATTTCATGTTATATTTTTAATAGATTTCAAATTACTTTTTAAAATGTCTAAAAGTATGCAGTATGCAAACAACGTTGTGTCTCGAAGTATTAATTATGCATACTTTTAGACACCTTTTTGAATTCCAATATTATAAAACTTCTTTAGGGTTTGAATTTGTCTTTCCCAATGGATTTTTCTCACCCGCTCAATTTAAATGTAAATAAATAAACCCAGTGACCGTTCAATATTTCCTATCCCATCCCTTTTGCTGCAATCTTCACGGCAGAATTACTTCCCTAACTAATGGAACCGGTCAACAATTTGTCGGAATGGCCTCGGATGAGAGCACCCTCATATCGGGCACTTGATGCTCTATTTACCTGCCCCGGGCGAAACATCAAAGGCGAATCAGCCGGGCCCCGAAGTACTATAGTTGCTGCAATCAACTGCTGTAAAATTGCCTCACCTGCCGGGGGCTTCGGTGGGTTCCTGGCAGGTGGGCAGGAAGGAGGAAGGGGACAGAAGATGGACTCACATATTTACACAGTGTGGCCAAATCCCGTCGGCTAGAAGAAGGTAAATAAATGTGGCCACAACTGGGAGTCATCCTTATCCCCGTTCCATGTAAAAGGGGGGGGCTGTGACCGCAGGATGTACCGGCGCCTGTCGAACTGTCAGCTGCACTGTCATCCTTGGGCCCTTCGGGGGATATCCTGTTGACATTCCATTGTCCATGGGTTTTCTCCGCTCAGCTTTAAAAGTATTTCAGGCCAAAATCATTTAGCCCTGGCTCAAACGCATCCCATCTAGTTTGTATTCTATATTTTTTCCGCCTGCTTTCTGGTGTGTTCTTTTTTTTTCCTATCCTTTTGTTTTGCGGAGGCGGTCCAATGAATTGGTGTAAACACTCGGGGCGTCATTCTGTTGCCATCTCAAATGCTTTCTGCTGCCGTTTCCTGACATTTTTGCCCGCAGTGCTTAGACAATGGTTAAGCCTCGCCGCCGCCCCTTTTGGAATATTCCATTTTTAATAGTCAGGAGCCTTTTTAATTTATCTGCCAGACTGGCACGCATTTTCCAGCTGCCTTGGGGCCAAAGGAATGCAGGATGCAGGCGGAGTTGCACAGGATATTGCGACATTTAAGCAAATATCCCAGGCCGTATCCCAGTCAACGACTTCTAGTTGTTGCACAATTATGGGCCTGTAGTATTTGCCCAGCCCTGAGCTGAAAATCCAGCCCAAAGGTTAACCTCATGGGACCCAGAGGCACAATTGAAATGTCATCTGCACACCTGCAAATTAGTTAAACGCAATTCCCCCTTCACCTCCAGGGGCTACATAAACATTTGTAGGCCAACAATTGATAAGGTCTTTAGTGAAATGCCAACTGGCCTGGGAAATTCCATGCATCTGTCTTTCACTTTAAGTGAAATGCATAAAATTGTCATAAAGTGCGGCATTATGCAAGCGCCTGTCAGAATTTATGACACTCTGCTGGATTATTTTGCAAGTTGGTATCTGCTAGGACAATGAAATAATTTTCCTTTAATTGTATGCGTTGGCTTCCCTTTAATTACTTGCTAGAAATTGAGGTGTTTTATTGGTCTTAGATAAATTAGTGTGTGCTCAAATTAAATGTTGGTAACCTAATGGGTTTTACAAAGTTCAACTTAATTACAAGTTTCAATTAGCACAAAATGATTTCGTCTTTTGAAAGAGGATTTAATTTTTGTAAAATTATAAATGTAACTAAACTGCAGATGAAAATAATTTATTGTTAAGAGATGAGGAAGTAATAAAGAAAATACATAAACACATTTATGTTGCATACTTATTAGCACTCTAAAGAATCTCTACCTAATGAAAATGACTTCCTTGTGCATTTTAATTTTCTATGCTTAGAAGAACAGTGCTAATTAATGGAGATACCCCGCTATGCCCAGAGCAACTTGTATGACTAATTTCATTAGATGATTCAGGGCCAAAACCTGACGGAACTTGGTACTGAGAACTTGGACCCATCTGGCCAACAAGTGGCCCCATGTGCTCCTTCTGAAGTGGCGGCGCTACACTAAATTGCTTTTAATTATGCTAAAAAAGAAGACAATAATAAAACAAAAAACAAAAGACAAAAAAAAATGAAAAAATATGGTTCTGAGAGTGAAAAGCTCCCGCTGTGCGCTTTATGGCTCCGGGCATACTTCACAACAGGCCGCAGAAGGACGTCGGGACTCCAGGACTCCAGGACTCGCCAAGGACTCGGTTTCTAGGGCCCAGAAACCAGCTACCAGTAACCAGTACCCAGTAACCAGGATCCAGGACCCCGAGGGGAAGCAGTTAAGTTTGGCTCTGGGCTTGGGTTTGGGGTTTCGGAGCTGGGATGGTTTCATTTTCAGTTCTGCAATGGCAAGCAGCAGAGCGGAAATGAATTGTTGAATGCGAAGACTGGGCAACTTTTCTATGGTGGTTTATGAACAATTCCAGTCAAAGTTGCTTGTTTTATTGCCTTCATTATTTCATTTGTTTCAATTAGCGACAGCTG